ACTTGCCAGTTTTACAGAGGACCAGGGTTTGGTTTCGAGTGTTCCCATGGAGGCTAACAACCTTGTTACTCCAGTTCCAAAAGATCCAACACCCTTTTCTGGGTACTCCAAGCATCAGGTACACATACACACAAAAGACTTATGAACATAAAATAAAAATACATTAAAAACAATGTGCATAAATATAAATTGTTCATAGAAATTAAAAGTGTAATTCCAGAAAAATATGCAAACATAAATTCCAAAGTAACTCATCTAAAAAACAACTCCCTGTGATTTTTAGATATTAAAATTCCACAGAAGTGTAACATCACTTGTTTATTTGTTTAAACTCAAATTTAAAGGTAACATGTCTATCACCACATGATAAGAAACTGAAAAACAAGAAAGATATTAGATCTTTATGAAAGAAAAATTTATTTTATTTATCTTATGTGTATGAGTGTTATAACTGCATGTAAGTTCATGGATATCATGCAGTACCTGTGGAGAACAGAAGAGGGTATAAAAACCCCTAGAACTGGAGCTACAGATAGCTTTTAGCCTCCAGGTGGGTGCTGAGATGAGAACCCTGCCTGGTCTTCAGCAAAAACAAGAGTGCTCTTAAACATGTGCCATCTCACCAGCCCCTGAAAGAGAAAATTTGAAGAAATACAGTAATAAAACACCTCATAAACAAGTTATTCAAGCAAAAATTAAAGAAAAATTGTTCACTCTATTTACCATCAGGGTCTGATGTAAATTGGGTCTGGTGTATTTGAGTAAGTAATATAGTCATAAAACAATACTTCAGGGAGGAGGCAGTCAGATCACTTCCAGCTTCATTGCTCTAAGTCCTGGGTGAGAAGGATGCCCTGCTTTTAGAAATAGTGTCTTACCTTCAAGTTCTAGGAGGTAATTAGGGTCTTGGAAATAGCCTTATTATTTTGGAAGGTTCTTGGACTACTCTGACCAACAACTCATAGGGAAGTTTTCCCTAGCACAGTGGTTTCTTCTTATATAGCCTTCAGTTTTACACATCCACTCATCATGTTCAGATACTGTATGTGTATTTTTCAGTATGTTTTTGAGCTAATACATTCCCCTCTGGTTTGTCATAACATCTTAGCTTTATTTATATTCTCTCTCTCTCTCTCTCTCTCTCTCTCTCTCTCTCTCTCTCTCTCTCTCCTCCTTCCTCCCTCCCCAGTTAAATTCCCCCCATTTCCCCTTGACAATACCTGTCCCCTAACACCATCCCTCTCTTTAGGTCCTTCCTCCTCTTTACTCCCTTGTCTGTCTTTCCCTATTCCATTCCCAGTTGAGTATGGAATACAGGTCTTTAAACACAGCAAGTGGATAGGGGAACAGAAAGTTATCTGTAAACTTGAAGACACCCTAATCCATACAGAGAGTTCCAGGCCAGAGAGATTTACATAATGTGATGCTGTGATGCTGTTTCAAAAAAAGTTGCCAGCCAGGTGTGGTGGCATGCACCTTTAACCCCAACACTCAGAAGGAAAAGGCATGTAGATCTCCATATTAGTTACTTTTCTGTTGCTGTGATAGAAACAACTGGCCAAAGCAATTTATAGAAGGAAGAGTTTATTTGCTCTTACAGTTCCAAAGGGGCAAGGGTCCATCATTCTGGGGAGGCATGGCAGCAGAGGTGGCTGGAGGAGGAGCTAAAGCTAAGCTCTCACATCTTCTAGCAGACACAGGACACAAGAGAAAGACTTGAGATCCAGCAACATTTAAAAACTCTCTAAGCCCACCCCAGTTATATGCTCCCTCTAATATGGCTATACTCATATTAAATGTAAGAAAACTTGAAGTATAACCACTAAAGTCAGTAACAAGAAAAGATTGTCCACTCTCTGTGCTCTTATTCAATATGATGCTTGAAGTCTTAGCTCAAGATGTAGCATAAAAGGGGAAATAGAAGGAATAAAAATTAAAGAAGTCAAATTATCCCTTTTTGCAGATGATATGACCTAAATACCCTATCAGAAAACACCTATAACTAATACATAACTTCAGAAAATTGGCAAGATAGGAAATTAGTGCAGAAAAAAACTGTAGTCTTCTTAATACTCATGACAATCATACTAACTGAAAATGAATCGGGGAAACGATCTTATTCACAACAGCCATACCAATTAATAACATACCTAAGGACACCCCTAACTAAAGAAATAAAAGTCCTCTATCATGAAAGCCTCTAAGACACTAAAGAAAGAAATTAAGGGAGCACAAAACAGAATGACCACCATGAGCATAGATCAGAAGGAACTGATATTGTGAAAATGACCACTTTACCAAAGCAATCTACATTTCAATGCACTCCCACTAAAAATTTCAAAACCATTCTTTACAGAAACAGAAAAATAGACAATATTTTTTAAAAATAAGGTAGGCAAAGCAATCCTGAACAATAAGAAGCACTTAACGTAACTGGATTTTAATTTACACTATACAGCCATAGTAATGAAAAGGCATGGTACATGCATAAAAACAGATTTGTTGATAAATAAAATGGAATAGAGGACACTGATATAAATCCCCACAATGACAGTCGCCAAAGATTCTAAAATAAAGTCACCAAAACTACACACTGGAAACAATGCCCTTACAACACAAGGTACTGGAAAACCGAATGTCAACATGTACAAGAACAAAATGAAATTAGATCCATATCCGGCACCTGATAGATACTGACTGCAAGTAGATCCAGGACCACATCACAAAACTTGAAGATCCGAAATTATTACAAGAAAAAGTACAGTTTTCACTTCAAGATGTAGACATGAGGAAATGGGTAAGAAGCTCCAGCCTCATCTAAGGAAACTGTGGCAACAGAAGACTTCAGGGAGGTGCAGAGACAGTCTTTCAAGCATGGGACTATTCATAGGTTAACCAGGCTCTAGTGGATGTGCCATAGTGAAGGACATTTGGGGACACTAATTAGAATCTATAGGCTCTATTGTATATATTGTAAATTACATTAAATTGGGACAGAAGCAACAAGAGGAGCTGGAGATATGGGAGAAAATTAAATTATATCAAATTATAGTGTACGACAATAATAAACATTCAAAATGAAATAATTTAAATAAAAAGTTTAAAAAGCATACATATGAAATTTTTGTGAAAGAATTAAATTCAAAATGTTATATAAAGTGACAAATGTGAGATCAACAATTACTTAAAGTGAATCCATACACAGTGATTATCAGTTCAAAAGGCATAAAGATGGCAAAACTACTTTTGGAGATATTAAGGAACAGAAATGTTTATACATCATTGGTAAATGTGGATACTCACTATTCAATAGTGTACCAAAGTTCTTCAAAATCCAAAAAGAAAACAATCATGTAGGTCAACAATCACAATTCTGAGTATTTATATTTATTTCCTGAAAGTATTTGAAATTAACATTGAAAAAATTCTGTTCTTTCATTTGAGTACTTGTGAATTATTTCACATATCAAAAGATGGAATCAAACTTTCTGTTCAACAGATAAATGGTAAAGACTATTGGCATAAATATATCATGGAATATATTCTGACTTAAACATGAAAATGGTATTTGTGACAGCATGAACGAATGCAAACCATTCAGTTCAATGAAATAATCTGGAATAATACAATCATAGAAAGGTACTGTGTGGTATAGCTTATATACAGAATTTGAAGGAACTAAACTCAAAGACACTAGAGATAGAGAGATTGCTTATTACCAGAACTGTGCAGTGATTGTATGAATTGGTGTTTTGAAGGGCTCAAAAACTTGTCAGGGTAAATAAGATTTTTCTCTTATGATATTATTTCAATAGCATACTGAAATTCAATACATAATAACACATGCATATTTCTTACTTGCAAAATAGAAATTTTTCAAAGGTGCTCTCCAGAAAATATGATAGATATTTGAGGCTATGAACATATTATTTAACATGATTTAATTATAATGAACGCTGCTTATAAGTGATAATGCTGCTTTAAAATCTGTCAAAAAATAGGGTAATTGTAAAAATGACAATCCATAATTGCATACAGAGATGTAGATTAGAAATAGAAAGCAACAGATCATGCAAATTTATGTGAATATACTTGTAGGCATGCTGGGGAAACACGTATTGACATATACAAGGCAGCAACAAATGACAATTTCTTCACATGACCTACTAATCTCTTCAATCTCAAAGATTTTTATGTTTTGACTACAATTTTTATGTTCAGGGGACAAGAGGTATGTCAGTAAGTGTGAGTACTGGCTCCATTTGTAGAGGACCCAAGTTCAGTACCTACAATGCACAAGGTGGCTTATAAACATTTGTAATTACAATTTCAGGGCATCAGACACCCTCCTTTGGCAACTGCAGGTACCAGGCATGCATATGGTGCACATACATACATATAGACAAACTACTCATACACATAAAATGAAAACAAATGAATCATTGTTAAAAATCATTTTTTATTTTCAGTGACTAGATATGCATAATTTTATCTGAAGTTATATATATGTGTGCAATCAATTCTTGTCTGTGTGTATATGTTGTGTTTTATTATTTCATTATTTGTCATAATGCATTCATTCCATAGAACATAGATACTAAAAGAAGATGAGTTTACATGGGCAGAGGCTTTGTGCTTTCCTTCCAATGAACCAAATTTTAGCATGCAGTAGAAACTGTATGTATATGATGGTCAGACAGGCACCAAATAAAATATGAACAGATAATAAAGTTATTTGTGAATGTAAGCACAGAAATTCATACAGATATAGATGATGATACATAGAAGGCAACAACAGATCAAAGGTTACTTAGATGGGCTGCCAAATTTATTGAAATGAAATTATATTTGTTTTCAATTACAAATTTTAATATTCAGATTATATAAGCATATATGTATATATGGCTAAACATTTATTTACTGATTATATCTTAAATTTGCATAGGTTTTTACTTCAAATTCTATACATTCATTCTATAAGAGCATTAAGCAATTCTCTTTCAACATCGTCCTTTCTGTGAATATATCTTAAGACATAAAACCTTTCTGAGTGCACCTTTGACTTCTGTGTTTCTCAGGCTGTAGATAATTGGGTTTAACATGGGGGTGATGACCCCATATAGCATGGAGATGAGTCTGTCTCTAGCAGGAGAGTGTTGACTAGAGGAAGGGCGGATATACGTAAATATAGTTGTGCCATAGAACAAGCAAACCACAAGAAGATGGGATGCACATGTGGAGAAGGCTTTGCGCTTCCCTTCCACAGACTGGATCTTTAAGATGGTGGAGACAATGTATATGTAAGAGATCAATGTGATCAGGAAGGCACCAACCCCAAAGATACCTCCAACCACTAAAACAAGCATTTCTGCTATGTAGGTGGATGAACAGGACAGGGCCACCACTGGTGGTATATCACAGTAGTACTGGTTAACTCTGTTGGACTTGCAGAAAGACAGGCTGAAGGTGGATACTGTGTGGAGCAAAGAATTGAGAAAGCCAGCTGTCCAGGTCCCAGACACCAGCTGCACACAGCGAACCTTGGTCATGATGAGGGAGTAACGCAGAGGGAAGCATATGGCCACATACCTGTCATAAGCCATCACAGCCAAGAGAAAGACTTCAGTCCCAGCGAGGGCCACCAGAAAATAAAGCTGCAAAGCACACCCAACGAAGGAAATGCTGTGATCCTCAGTCAAGAGATTCTTGAGCATCTTGGGGACCGTAGCTGATGGGCAGAATATGTCTAGCAGGGACAGATTTGCCAATAGATAATACATGGGCGTTTGAAGCTTTCTTTCAGTCACTATGGCCAAGAGAATGGCCCCATTTCCCAGCAGAGTGATCTGATAGATGATAGCAAACACCACAAAGAGGGGATAGCGCACCTCAGGGAGGTCAGAGAGCCCTATGAAGATGAACTGAGTCACAGTGCTAAGATTGTACGTATCCATCTCCATTCTGCATGAGGCTGTTTCAAGGAAAATGAAAGAAACAAATGCAAGTTAGGGCACCAAAGAAGTGACCTGTTTCAGGCTGGTGGTGAATTGTGTTACATTAATTATGGATTTAGCTTTAGAAGTGTCTAAAATGTTTTTGTGCTCATGCAATTTCTGAACATATAAACAAACCACTGCTCC